TCATATTGGAACTCTCTGTCAACTCTAGGAAGGATAGAATCTAAGCCTGGTGATTGACAAACTTTCAGTTTGTCAATAAGGTTGAGAATTTCATCTTTTGTAATCACTATCTGACATAGTTTCTCAGATTCCCTTCCTGAAAACAACAGTTCATGTACAGGTATCAGTCTTATATCTTCTGCAGTGAAGACAGCTTAAAAGAATTCATACAACTTCTCTACAATCTCTTTTCTCTTTTCTCAGTATCATCAAATGGTCCAAGTGTCCCTCTAACTGGCTTCTTGTTTCTAAGAGATTTAATAGATTTAGGGAGCCTTATGGGTTAATGTGGCAGGATAAAAATCTAATCAATCAATCACTTTTAATGTTTATTTATTTATTTAAAACACTTCTATGCTGCCCCCATCGCAACAAAGCCTCGGGGCAGCTCACAACAAAAACAAACAAAAGCATATAAAATTATACAATAAAAATATTAAAACCCAATGCATCTCTGCTTAAAATTTAAAAAAAAACCTACATAATAAATTAACAATTAAAATAAGTTGTAAATAAAAAGGTCTTAGCCTGGCGCTGAAAAGCAAATAACGACGGCGCCAGGCGGACCTCTCTGAGGAGCACATTCCATAGGTGGGGTGCCACCGCAGAGAAAGCCCGTCTCCAGGTACTGACCCTCCTAATATCATTCACAGAGGGTTCCCGGAGAAGGGCATCTATTGCTGATCTCAAGGGGCGGGAGGGCATATATGGACGCAAGCGTTCCTTTAGATACCCAGGGCCCAAGCCGTTGAGGGCTTTATAGGTCATAACCAACACCTTGAATTGGGCCCGGACTTCAATTGGGAGCCAGTGGAGCTGACAGAGAACTGGGGTTATATGAGAACAACGTCCAGTCCCCGTCAGCAGCCTGGCAGCTCTATTCTGCACCAATTGAAGTATCTGGACCGTCTTCAAGGGTAGCCCCATGTAGAGCGCATTGCAGAAATCTAATCGGGAAGTTACCAATGCGTGTGTCTCTGTTGCCAGGCAGTCGTTCTCCAGGAAGGGACGCAGCTGATAGATCAGCCGAAGCTGAAGGAAAGTGCTTCTCGCCACCACCGTCACCTGGGCTTCTAAAGACAGCTCAGGGTCGAGGAGCACTCCTAAGCTGAGAACCCTGTCCCTCAGAGGGAGTGCAACCCCATTTAGGACAAGGCCCAAGGCCCTCATCCCGAGTCCCGAACCACCCACCAACAGGACCTCCGTCTTGTCTGGATTGAGCTTCAGTTTATTGGCCCTCATCCAGCCCATTACCTCGGCCAGGCACCAGTTCAGCACAGCCACTGTGCTGGATTGGTGGAAAACAAGAGGTAGAGCTGGGTGTCATCAGCGTACTGATGATTCCGCAGCCCACACCTCCTGATGACCTCTCCCAGCAGTTTCATGTAGATGTTGAATAGCAAGGGGACAAAATGGACCCCTGCGGAACTCCATGGCATAACTGCCATGGCGCAGAGCCATAGTCCCCCAGCACCACCTTCTGAAATCGGCCGTTGAGATAGGAGCGGAACCACCGCCAGGCGGTGCCTCCAACTCCCAATCCCGCCAGCCTATTCAGAAGGATATCATGGTCAATGGTATCGAAAGCCGCTGAGAGGTCCAGGAGAACTAACAGGGACGCACTCCCCCTGTCTCTCTCCCTGCACAGGTCATCGTACAGGGCAACCAAGGCAGATTCAGTGTCGTACCCGGGTCTGAAGCTGGACTGAAATGGGTCCAGAGAATCAGTTTCATCCAAGAATGCTTGGAGTTGTCCTGCCACCACCCGCTCTAGTACCTTGCCCAGGAACGGGATGTTGGCCACTGGTCTATAATTGGCAGCCACCTCTGGATCCAGGGCTGCCTTCTTTAGGACTGGTCGGACTACCTCCTCTTTTAAAGAGGATGGTACCCGGCCGTCTCTTAAAGAGGCGTTGACCACCTCCAGGATCCAGGTGCCTATCCCATCCTTGGCTTTCTTAAGTAGCCAGGATGGGCATGGGTCTAGTAAGCAGGTGGTAGGGCGTACTTGTCCAAGCACCTTGTCCACATCATCAGGCCACAACAACTGAAATTCATCCATTAATTGTGGACTCGACGGCATCGTTGGCATCTCCTCAGTAGAATCTGGTTCAATAGTAGAGTCAAGTTCGTGATGAATCTGAGCGATTTTCTCCCTGAAATGCCTGGCAAAGTTGTCACAGCGGGCCCTTGAGGGTGGTATGAGATCTTTTTTTGGGCCTGAATGTATCAGCCCTTGCACCACCCGAAAGAGCTCCGCCGGACGGCATTGTGAGGAGGCAATGGAAGCAGAGAAGAATGTCTTCTTCGCCGTCCTCACCGCCACACCATAGGTCTGATAATGGGCTCTGAAGTGTGTTCAGTCAGATTCACCTCATGATCTCCTCCACCCACGCTCTAGACGTCTCCCAACCTGCTTCATCGCCCGTAATTCAGGTGTATACCAGAGAGATGAACAGGCTCTGTCAGGTGGGAGAGGACGATCGTGTCAATAGCCCTGGTCATCTCCCCATTCCACAGTTCAACCAGGGCATCGACAGGATCACCAGTCTTGTCAACCGGAAAATCCACCAGAGCTTTCAGGAATCCATCAGGATCCATCCAGCTCCAGGGGCGGACCAATACAATCTGGTCTGCACCCTTACAGAGGGAAAGGCCGCTCTCAAGCTCAAACCTTATGAGGAAGTGATCTGACCATGACAAGGGCGTCAAACTTAAATTCCTCACCCTCAGATCACCCTCTTCCTGCCCTGTTGAGAAAACCAGGTCCAGAGTGTGTCCATGTTCATGGGTCGGGCTACTGACGTGTTGAGACAGCCCCATGGCTGCCATGGAGGCCATGAAGTCCTGAGCTGCCCCGGTTAGAACCGTCTCGGCATGGAGATTGAAGTCCCCCAGGACCAACATCCTGGGAGTCCTCAACACCAGGTCCGAGACGATCTCCGTCTGCTCAGGCAAGGAGTCTGTTGGGCAGAAGGGTGCACGGTACACCAACAGAATCCCCAATCTGTCTCAGTCACCCTAGACCAAGTGGAGGCACTCCAGCCCCGGCTTCGAGAGGAAAGGAAGCCCCACAGGGGAGACAGAAGCTCGATAAAGCAGAGCGACTCCCCCTCCCCTCCCCTCCGGGCATGGTCGGTGCTGGACCAGGTACCCAGACGGGCACAGTTGTGAGAGGGCGACATCCACCTGCTCAGGTCTCTGTGATACAAGCCAGGTCGGCCCTCTCATCCATGATCAAATCATGGATGAGTGTTGCCTTATTTTGGACCGACCTGGCATTAAGCAACAGCACCGACAGGCCCGGGGGGCAGCTGACAAGTCTACCTTGAACCCGCCGGTTGGGGGAATAACCAGAAAGAGGGACAGGTCTCCTTCTTCCATGCAGACCCGTTAGACCCCCAACGCCATAACGTCCATTGCCCATCACCAACCCAATGGCGGTGCCCACGCGCTCCCCAGACAACATCATAGTAAAGCACGAGATGCACCAATTAAAAGCAACCTAAAACCGACAATTAAAATTACTAAAAACATCCTACTTAAAACTACTGCTAGCCAACAGACGAACAAAACCAAGGCCAACCACCAAAGCCCCCGGTGAGCCCGGCCCCCCGCCCGGCCCCCAAATGGTGGCGTCACCGCCCTTAGGCCGTTGGCCACCGGACGCCGCCGGCGCTTTGTAGGCCGCAGGGCCCCTCCCCGTGCCCCACCCCGCCCCGGCGTGTCTCTCACGCCGGCGAAGCGGGCCGGAGCAGGGGCCTGGGCCGGTGGTCCTGGCCTCGGTGTGGCAGCAGCAGCCTTGGTGTGGTTAATGATATGCTCTCAAAAATGCTTTTTTTAGGGGCATCTCTTATATGCTTGTATCTTGCTTGTGCAATCTTGTGCTCCCTTTTGTTTTCCTCATTTGAGCAAGACATCCATTTTTGGAAGGAAGCTTTCTTTTCCATAATAGTTTCCTTGATGCTGTGTGTTAACCATACTGCTCACCTTTCAGGCTTTGTGCTACCTTGCCTAACTTATGGTATTACGTACTTTCTGAGCCACGGTTCTTGTGATTTTGACTGGTTTTCTGGTACTTTGAAAGAAATTAACCCTCTTAACTCCCTTTTCAACATCCTTTTTACCTGTTCCCTCATTTTAGGAATCCAACTTTCAAAGTCAAGTATGCCTGTGCTGGATCTCTTTGCCAGTCTTCCACTTAATTCTGATAACAATGTAGTCATAGTTGAAGTCTCCCATTGTTAGAATATTTGCTGCTTTTTTAAATGCCTCCCTCATTTCATTTTCCATCTAAAGTTCTGGGATGGGGGACAATAACATGTTTCTAGTATAAAATTAGCTTTAGTGTGAGGTATTTTCAGCCACAGTGCCCCTGTGGAGTAGTCTGCACTATTTAGACTTTTAAATCTGCTAAACATTGTGCCCTCCTTCAACGTACAGAGCAACACCTTCTCTAGTATGCCTCTCCCTATTTTTCCTATAATGATTATTTTCCAAGGTGACTGTTATCACTGGTATTCTCAATTCCACCATGTTTCCATAATTCCTAGGATATCTAAGGTCTGGTTTACAACCAGGGACCCTTGCTGTACAGGCCTCAGTGTTTGTTTGGTTGGTTAACCCAATTTCACCAGCTACAATGTGTAGTCTGAAAAACCAAAAGCATTTTAAAAATTGTGATTATTGATCAGATCAGTAATGCAGAAGACAATATGCCACAACTAATAGACATTATCATAATGTATGGAAGGAAGTGTTTTAATCCTAATATTGAAATACATTTGTAAAAGCAGAAAGTAGAAAATAGGCATGATCAAAACTAAAAAAAATGTAAACATAGAAAGGAGACATGATAAAATGAGTCCCTATTCTTCTCAGAGCATGTCAACTGGATATTTTCAGCATTTAGGATATAATAATGTTTTGCTGTTTAAACTTCTTTTTAATTATTCTTGCAGGTTAAAGAGTGGCTCTGTTTGAACTGCCAGATGCAAAGAGCTTTGGGTGGCGACTTAGCTCCTGTTCACGGCCCTGGACCACAGCCCTTGACATCCAAACAAATAACACCTGCTTCAGGAAAACCAGTGTCCCAACCACAGGAGCCAGCACAGAAGAAAGAAGTTGCTTTGAAACCTGACGCTGCCACATTACCTGAAAGCAAAAAGCCACCAACAGAGGCAAGAGAGTTATCTCAGTCAACAGAATCCACCCCAAAACCTGTCCAGCCCAAGTCAGCAGTGGTTGAAGAGAAACAAAAACAGTCTAATATTCAGAAACCCATAAGAGATGTTGGGCCAACACATTCCCCATCAGATACTAAGCAAGATCCAAGATCAGAGGCTGCCAAGCCATCTCAAGACACATCTACGCTTGTAGATAAATCTGCTCCCCCAGATGCTAAAACGTCACCTCAAGTGTCTCAGCAGAAGTCTGATCCCAAACTTGTTTCTCAGTCTGCATCTGGATTGGATACTAAGGCCCCAAAGCAAGTTGAATCACTGGACTTGAAAGGAGACCTTAAGAAGATGCAAACCCAGATAATTCCTAAGCAAGATGCCAAGCAGGCTCCCAAAGGACAACAAGCCACAGCAGGCCCCAAACCCACCCAAGTCCAGCCACAAACTCAGTTGCAACAACCTCAGAAAACTCCAGAACAATCTAGACGATTCAGTCTTAATGTAGGAGGTATCACTGATGCCCCTAAACCACAGCCAACGACCCCTCAAGAGACAGTTACGGGAAAGCTCTTTGGATTTGGTGCTTCAATTTTTAGTCAGGCTTCAAATTTAATCTCTACAGCGGGCCAGCCTGGAGCTTCACCACAGGCTCCTCCATCTGGATCCCCCTCAAAGCAGCCTCCTGCTCCAGCACAGCTGTCTGGCTCACAAAAGGACACCCGTCAAGCTCAACCAGCTCCCAAAGCAATACCCATGAAGAAAGAAGCAAAGCCTTCAGTGGCAGAAAAATCAGAGCCACCCAAAGCAGCAATTGTTAAAGAAACGGACGCAGAGAAGAAGCCTCCACCTGCCAAAGATACCAAGCCTACAACTGTTAAAGCTAAGCAAAGTGTTGATCCACAAGACATTGTTCAGCCTTCACTGCCAGCATCTGCTTGTCCTCTCTGTAAAACTGAACTAAATGTCGTTTCTAAGGATCCTCCCAACTACAATACTTGTACAGAATGCAAGAATACAGTGTGCAATCTCTGTGGATTTAACCCGGTGCCACACATAACAGAGGTAGGCAATGTTTTCTTTTGTATTTTTTGTCCACTGTTTTGCAAATGATGAATGCCAGTGGAACATTTAATCAGGCTTTTAAGGGTTCAATCCTATACATGCTTAAAAGGGAGTAAGTCCCCTTGAACTCTGCAGAAATACGTAAGATTGCACTGTACGTTTGTTTGCCTGGCATTGATTGGGATGGTCTTAATCTCTTTTGTTTCTTTTGTAAAGTTCAGCTTAAAGCAGTTTTTGGTTCTTTTGATAACTTATTTTATTGTGATCTTCAAGCCCTTCCTCAGCAGAGAAAACTCATTTTATCACAAGGTAGTGTTTTGCTCACAAATTGCAGTATTTCCCAAATGCAAATAGTTAATATAAGTGACAAAATGCTAGACATACATATTTAAAGGGAGAAGAGGGAGTGGTTACAGTCATGACCAGCTCTACTTGGCTGCATGATTATTTCTGTCAGGCTGGGCTGCAGACTGCTTGGCACTCGTGTATCATGAGGCAAGATGATGAATGCCTGCAATTTATTGCTTACTTGTCTGACATCTTTTCATTTTGTCTCCTGTGCTTGAGAAAGTGACATGCAGAAAAGCTCTGTGGGTGTACCTTCCATTCTAGCATTTTGTCACTTGTATTAATTATTTGCATTTGGGAAATATTGCAATTTGTGAAGAAAACACTACCTTGTGATAAAATGAGTTTTCTCTGCTGAGGAAGAGCTTTGTTTGTTTTGTTTTGCAAAAACCAGCCAACTACTATGTAACTATTTGGTGGCGATGTAACATGTTAATGGACTGGCCATCCTTGCAAGTCCCTTTTTGTGTCATTGACATTTTCCCCCATTACTGTTGTGGTTTGAAAAAAAACAACAAGCAGCAGCTGACTTAGCTCTGTGAATTGTTCTGTATACCTAAGGCTGATGGGAGATGCATTTGTAGCAGGCAAAGCATCCTTTAGGTACAACCTATATGCTGAGAACCAGAGAGCAAGTTACTTAAAGTCAATGCATTTTCATAACAGAGTAGTAATTTACATGATAGCCAAGAACCTAATGTTTAGCATCTTTCAGGGGGTGGGGGCATTGTTGTTTTTGCCCAATCCAGAAATGTGATCTATATTGATCTTATTACTGCCAGGTTGTCAGAAAAGCAAATACATGATGATTCAATAAATGAGAGCCCATAGATTCGAAGGCCCATGGGGCCACATGTATGCTGAAGGATTATCACAGATGTTAGCCACTGTTCTTACTGGATGAGTTATTCACTGGGGAGAAGCACTGTTTACCAACTCTTTAATTAGCTTTCCTGTGGACTTGCAGTTCAGGTAATTCTATTTTTAGCATGCAGGCGGAATACAGCACTACAGATACTCACAGATGAAAGAAATGTTGGTGACCATTTTGTAGAGCATCAGATGGCAAAAAGCATCAGTACTGTGTTATTTATAAATTAATTTTAGCGTTGGGTTGGAAAGGTGGTACTACCTGCCAGGAAGAGAGAGGTTAGCCAGCCCTTCCCTAGGCTGGTACCCTTCAGGTGTGTGGAATCACAGCCCTTATCATACCCAGTCAGCATGGCCATTGGTTCTGCTAGATGGGGATGATGGGAGATGTAGTCAAACAGCTTTATTAAGCACCAGCTTGGGCAGGCCTGTTACCAACAGCAGCCTTCCCCAGTTTCCACCATACAAATACATTTTATTTTTTATTCTTTGTATATTGCACAAGTCCTTAGGCCATGGCAGAATTAAGCCTATACAATCAGATTTTTAAGTGTCTTAATACATAAAATTTATTAAGATTAATATAAAATATCACTTGAAAGTGGTTAATGTTACTAAGGTGCAGATAGATCCCAGGGGCATTGGTAAGATGATCACGCTCTCTGAACACCCTTAAGGATTTGTGGTACAGTAAGCAAGAATTTTGTCATATATCCCACAAAATTCTCTCTGCATCTGGCAGCGTTTATTGCAAACAAGACAACATTTTTGTAACATGTTGATTTGTCCCCTGAAGCAGGAAACTCAACTTTTCTTTCTTTTCCCAGTACTTCATTTCCTTTGGGAACGTTCTAAATAACATTCTCTAATGTCAATATATAACTGGGGACCCTCAAATGCAAAGTCTATTTTGAACTGGAATGCCATAGAATCTCTTCAGTTTCACCATTGATTCTGTTTATTCAAAACATAGTCTAGTAAAAGCTTTCCATTGTTCCATTGTCATAGGGTCATAATGATGCTGATGTTTTGTTCCTGCTAGCCATTTACCTACGCTAGAGAATGTAATTGCAGTTATATCAGACTGAGCTCCCATATCCAAAAGTTTTTGTTTAAAAACCCCTCTGGTTTCCATTCCCCTTGGATTCAATGCCTGTGTGGAGAATCCAAAATTAAGGAGTAATTTTATAATTTTTTGGGGCCAGAACTGTTCATTTAGGTTCTGTATAGCTGGAAATGCCTAATCCTGCTTAATCTTGGAAGCAAAGCCCCAGATTTCTGCATCAAAAATTAACATTGCAATAACCTTTGCCTTGAATATATTTATAATTGGGTGTAATGTGCGGCACAACTGGGAGACCACACATTATACCCAATTAGAAATATGATTAATAACATTACTAATATTTATTTATAATATTATATAATTAATAATATTAATAATGATAAAGTGAAAATCAGCAGTCTAAAGATTCTAAACCAACAGCTGCTTTTAATTCACCCAGTTGGCTCCATGGCTGAGCGGGGACTTGAACCCAGATCGTCTGAGTCCCAGTCCCATGCTCTTAACCACTACACCACACTGGCTCTTCTTGTGTGTATTTAGTTATTAGATGATGTACCATGAAGCAATTGTCTGTAGTAGATCTACCTTTCCTGAATCCTACCTGTTTTTCAGCAAGCAAGATGTGCTCATTTGCCTAGTCCTCCACTTTTTGCAAAAGATCTGCAGCATATAATTTGACTGGAATATCAGTAAGACTGATTGGTCTTTTGTTTTTGGGTTCCTTTCTTATTCCATTCCTAAATATTGGAACTTTTGTACCAGGATTTCAGCCTTTTGGGACTCAACTTGCATTATTCATATGTAAAGAAGCCTGTCAAAAGAGAAGCCCACAATCTACATTTTACACTTTAAATATTTGGGTGCCTTGTCATGTTTCAAAGTTTATATAAATAATCTCACAAGTGGAGACTGGCAACCATGATGGGAGACAGTCAGTGTCTAAAGTCAAGGTTTGTCCAGTTTTTCCAACTTCATCATTTTTAAATAAGTTTGCATAAAAAATCCCATGTTGCATTTGATATAGGATTATAAAAAAAGAATTTTATTTCTCTGAGCCTGCCAGAAACTAAATGCCAGAAATGGAATAAATTTGTTCCTGTTACTGCCAGCTCAAGTTCAGACCAAAATTTATTCTGAAACTGTAATTTCTTGGCTGTGATTAACTTTTTGTAATCATGTCTAAGTTTTAACTTTGTACACTGTTCCATATGGTCTGACAAGGCCCTTATTTTATGAGTCTGTCTTCTCAACTTGCTTCTTGCCAATCTACATTCTCTGTCAAACCATACGGATTCCATGGTTTTATTTCATTTGACATTAACTTGGTTGTCACAAGAGGCCTCAAATTATCACATAAGTTCTGGTAAGCTTGTAGGATGGCCTATACTAGAGTGAGAGCTTGAGATAATATTATGTAGAGATTAACCCTTGATTGAATTTTGAAAAATATTTAATTCCGTCACACTAACCTTTTGGCATTTTAATCTTCATTCTTGATGAAATTCCAAATTCTGTCTTAACCATTTATCTGTATCCGTCACTGGCCTTAAATCTCAGTCTGTGGCTAGCTTCAGTATTATGGGCTAGTGGTCACTATCTTCCTTGCTGTTAAATGTTACACCAGATAATAAATGTGTTTTCTTTTTGGAATCCTAGATGTAATCAAGGGCACTACCTGACAACGCTGAACAATAGATAATATAATTACAGCCCAATATCTGGCAACCAGACATATATGTAATTTCATATAGGTTTATGCCAGCTTTATTTACTATTTTATCTCTGGGCTTCCAATAGTTAAAATTCTGGGAAGTATTATCCAAAAGGTCCCATTTCTCCACAACTTCAAATAGTGATGAGGACATCCTGGCATTAAAATCACCAAACAGTATTATCAGAATGCCTGGGAGCCTTGTATTCAATTCCTTTAATAGTTGTTTGAGCTGCAATCATGTATCGGAATTGTAATTCTGAGAAGAGGCTGGAAGTATATAGGCATTTAACAAAATTATTGCTATACCAGCAGTAGAGAACTTTACCACCAGAAAGCTGAGGGAACAGTTTCCTCCATCAACCATTTCTCCACTTATCCCAAGTCCTCTTTAAGTAAAATGGCTGGGCTTCCTATGGCTCTTCCCCTGTTGGACATTCTTTCTCTGTGCAGGTTTAACCCATGTTGTAAATCCTGGTAAAAATATTGCATTATTTGCCATAAGCCAGGTTTCTTGGAATGCTGTCACTTCATGATGTATTAAATATTCAATCAAATCCTTATCATGTATTTTAGACTTCAGTCCACATATATTCCAGGACATAATACTTTTTTTAAAATAAGTTTTATTAAAATTTTTAAACTAACACTAAAAACATCAATCATCAATTACATCAGACATACTGGATCAGCACCTACTCATTTTTTCTTTCTTTTTAACATTTCTTAGTCATATTCAAATCCATTTATAATAACTCAGAACATATTTAAATCTAAGCCAAGTCCAAAAAAAAAGTATGTTTAAATCTATGCAAGGTCCCGTTTCTCTAGCCAATAATAAAGAAAAAAGTCTCCAAATTTGATAGAAGTCAATATCTTCTTACTCCTTCAATGGTAAATTCAGTCTGACCATTTCTGCATAGTTCAGGATCTTTTAATCAATTTGTCGATGTGTAATTCTTCATTTTTCCAATATTAAACAAATAGACTCCTCACTACAAAGAT